ACTTGGTGTATTTGGTTAGGTCAGGTGTGTTGTGTAGTACTGCTGATATGGATTCTTTCCCTAGTTTTGGGTTTACGGATATATGGATTTGTACATTATTTTATACTTTGAACAATCACTAATTCTGTCTTAGTTGACTGATCTTAGTTGATTATGTCCCATGTACCAAGGAACCTGAGTAATACACTTTTCCAGAATAACTGAGCCCTCACTGTGTATATTTAATTGTGTATGCTGGGTCATTTTGGAATTTGTCTTTAATTATCTTATTAGGTGGGCCATGTAAACATCTATACATTTTATCTTTTTTTTTTTCCTGAAAAGAATAATATATTTATATATTATTAAATTATTAAATATATATGCTAATATATTTATAATATATAAAGAGGGAATCTGAAACTGTGTACTGGCCTACATCTGAATATATATATATATATATTTAAGTGAAAGAAAGGATGCCATGTGGTCATTTGAAGAATGTCTTTAGTAAGAGGACTTTGAGAATGTGGCTGTCATTTAGACCCAGTGGTACAAACCAAGTTGTACCAAGGTGGACATCCTGGACCCAGGAAATGATTATTTCCAAGCTCCTCTTAGCTGGGATGCAATACGCCATAGTAAGAGCCATAATGTGCCCTGAGTCACATGGGTTATGATTTGAACTTGAGAAAATCTTTGGGGAAAATTTGGTATGGGTTCAAAGAATTGTGGGCTAGCTAGGTATAGGAAGCTGCCAGGTCAGACTTATTTTCTAGTCTAGCAATTGATAGTATCTCCAGAGTCACAACAGAGGTGACCAGGTCTCTTAACTGGAAATTTACATAGCTGAGTTTGGGATCTTCTGCATGAAAACTATATAACTCTCTATCCTATACATACTCTGCACCAAGTCATGATTTGCTAACATCACTTTTAACCTCAAAATTCTTCTCAGATGTACAGAAAGTACAACAATGATGATGGTGACAATGGTAATGTCCTCAATTTAGAGTTTCAGATTATTAAGACAATAATTATTTGATGAGATGAGCAAACAGAAAGTTCCATCTTGCTTTTCTTTTAACAGTACTCTGGAACAGACCATTTGTATCCTTAAAAATGTATTTGGAAGGAATTTACTCCTGCTTTTAAACAAGTGCTAATAATGTAATGCATCATTTTTTATTAATCCTTTGTTATGAGCAGAATGCCTTAGGCAACAGACATGGTAAATTTGTCACCGGAAAATGAGACTGTCTGAATTATAAACACAGCTATTATTTTTGTTCTTGGATCGCAATTACAATATAGACATGTCAAGAGCACTCAGACTGGCCACTGCAGGACAAATGATATTTCAGTTTCTTTCCCTTTCTGAAACAGATTTTCCTTCCTCATTATATGATAGCAAAAGAGAAAGCCTTTGCACTATAGACTTTGTCCTCTTCTGTTGGATTTCCAAAATATAGAATAAGACATTTGCATGGAAATATGCCAAACTCTTCAAAGATCAAATGGCTACATATGACAGGCAATTTCAGTGTGAAAGACCTAATTGGTTCATCTGATTTTATTACTTGTTTATTATGGATTTCACTTGTGGGTTCTCAAACAACAGATCTGCTTGCTAAGAATGGATTTACGGTTGTGATAACATAGGTATAAATAATCTGATTACATCTCCTCATTTATTTACAGAGAGTAACTCAAAAGATGTTGCAGAATCTGGTTAGCTTCTGAAATCCACGCAGCCAATCCTCATAGCTCTCTCTTGTATAAACGAGATATTCACAAAGGGAACAAGTCTGTTTTCTCTGTTGAATATCGCAGACTTTGAGATCTGCACGTATCTTCACTCTGATGATACTTTATGCATACATGGCATTTATGCAAGTAAATCTAGTAGCATTAAATAATTGTAAGCTATATCTGAAGCATTTATTTTAGTGAGCTAATAATTGATTATTTAATAATTTAATAAATAAGCAAAACAAGGAACATCATAACATGTCTTATGTATCTGACCAATAGTAACAAACGTGCTTCCAAACAGGGTCAGACCAAGGGTGAAATAATGGAATGGGATGATATCATTGTCTATTATGAGGGAAACAAATAAAACATCTTTGACATCCATAAATCCTGTGGGCACCAAGCTATGACAATACTGATTCTGGGTACATCATATAGCAAAAATCATATGGCAAAGGACAAACAAGATCAGAGTGGACAGTCCTAAAAAAGAAGTCCTAAAAAGAAACTATGATTTAAAGCTACAGGTATACTGTGTCTCTTGCTATCTTTTTGTTTTTTCCTCCTGTTTTAGTCAGTGTATTGTCTATTGAAGCCTTTATACCAGGGTTCCTCAACCTTGGCAACTTTAAGACAGGTGGACTTCAATTCCCAGAATTCCCTGGGAGTGGCTGGGGAATTCTGGGAGTTGAAGTCCACCCATCTTAAAGTTGCCAAGGGTGAGGAACCCTACTTTATACCTTTCCACTTTTCTTCTTTCTTGGGCTCCTCTTCCTATTCTTTTGCTATCTTTTTGTTTTTTCCTCCTGTTTTAGTCAGTGTATTGTCTATTGAAGCCTTTATACCAGGGTTCCTCAACCTTGGCAACTTTAAGACAGGTGGACTTCAATTCCCAGAATTCCCTGGGAGTGGCTGGGGAATTCTGGGAGTTGAAGTCCACCCATCTTAAAGTTGCCAAGGTTGAGGAACCCTACTTTATACCTTTCCACTTTTCTTCTTTCTTGGGCTCCTCTTCCTATTCTTTTCCTCCCTTTCTTTTTCCTATATTTCTTTTCTAGTTTCCTGGTTGGCTATTTTTGGTAAAAAAAAGCCTTATAGAAATCTGGAATCTGCAGCACTTCAAATGTTGCTCACCTGTAACTCCCAACATTCTTACAGAATGTGATCAACATCTGGAATGCCACCTATTGCCTACTCCTTCATTACCATATAGACCATTTATTTTAAATCCATTTTGCATTAATCCCTTATTCTGGGCATAGAGATTTTGCAAATGTTGAGTGGTGGTGAGAATTAGACCACTATCTTCATACTGCTGAGCTGGAATGATTAAAGAATATAGTAGGTTTAGAGTAACACAATTTATATTCCATATTCCACTTCCTTGTATGAATCTATTCTCACTATTATTATCAATATAAATCATTTTGCAAGACAATATACATTTCTACTTCATATTTGCACAGCTCTGAAATACTAACCTTATGTACTATTTCCATTCTGTCATGCTGATATCCAACATTTGGGGGGGGGGGATCTACTGCCTAATATTATTTATTTCATTAGGCATTATAGATAATAAGGGAATGTTTGGATGGGAAAAAATACTTGAAGATCAACCCTTCTCATTTTATGAATTCCATTGTTAAATAATAGTTTAGTAACTATTTTTATTAACTATTAATATAGAGAACAGCTTACCTGACAGACAAAGGCAATTGGATCAGCCACTTTCTGAAGCATCTGCTCAATCTCTCCAACTGTTGAATAGTATTCAATCTGCACTGCAGCTTTAATGTCTCCTCCACAGTAGATATTTACATTTACAAAGCCAGCAGGAAAATCTTATAAAACAGAAAATTGTAAAAGGTCAGTGGAAAAGATGAAGAAAAAGAACAGAAGAATTATTGCCAAAACCTTTCCACATTGATTCATATTCAGAATGCTTCTGTGTTATCTATTCCAGATTGGGAAGTCAAAGATTCACAAGAGAGCCAAACATACAAAGACACAGTGAGCAATGGAAGAAAAGAATCAGCAGCAATGGAGCAGGAAGGCAGAATTAAAATTTGTTTGGAGAATTTTAGAGAGCAAAGGAAAATGAAGAAAGCTTTAAAATATATAGTGTACTTGTGAGTATTTATTTTAGCATTTCAATTACCTCTGAATGTCTGTGGGGTGGAGAAGAATTTCCAGTTGTACACTTAGGTGATAATGTATTATGTATGAATTCACACAATGAAAAATGTGATATGCCAAACTTGCTGTCTTTGTGCCCAATCCCTGGACTTCTACACCACAATCCTATCTTGATGGCACTAATACATATGGTTAGTTTTGGGGTCAGTTTTTGATTCATGGCAACTGCCTGGACTAGTCCCTGCAGTGTTCTTGGCAAGATTTCAGAAGTGGTTTGCCATTGCCTGCTTCTTAGTGCTGAAAGAGAGTGATTGGCCCAAGGTCACCCAGCTGGCTTTGTGCCTAAGGTAGGAGTAGAACTCATGGTCTTTTGGTTTCTAGCTTGTTGCCTTAACTGCTACACCAACCTGGCTCTCTTGATGGCACAAATAAGAACATCTTAAGAAAGCAGTTGAGAGAAAATAAAGTTTTCAGTAGGGTAGATGAGCAACCTTTTGATGGCCAAAGGCAACACTTAATATTTTTGGAGGAGCTGAGTGCTGCAAAATGCGTATGACCATATCTAACATGCAGGCAAGTTTGGATCTGGGGAAAGTTTCTTTTTTTTAATTGTAATATGCATATGTTAGGGCTTATTTTTCATGTGTTTCCCATCTCAGAATGATGTGTTGTCAATTTTCAGCAATGGTCAGAAAGATCATTTCTGTGGATCCAAGAGCCACAAAAGGGTTCATCTAGGAATCAGAGTTGTACTGAAGGAAAATCTGTTGCATTCTGCAACTCTTTGTTCAAGCAAGTTGAGACCTCTGATTTAGTAAATATTACTTAATGTTATGATTTAGTAAATAGTAGATATTAATAAGTTGGCATTGAGAAAAACTTGAAGTGGAAGTTTGCTTTCATAGCTCAGTCCAACACATTGATAACACTTTCTATATCTTTATAGCTTTACTTCTTGGTCAAAAAAGGAAAAGTAGATGGTTCAGATAGACTATAAAACATCAGAATATGGCCAAATATATTAGCATTAATAAATGACCAAAAGGGACTTGAACAAATCTCCGCATAAAGCAAGACAACATTTTCATAAACGTCATGCAGTGATAATAATATGTGCTGTAGATTTATAGCAGAAACTGATTAAGTCAAGCATACTATGACTAATCAGTGATATTTTAAAGGCAGTCACCTGCCACTTTATCATGGATAAACAACCAAATGCCTCCAGTTTTGATAAGTCAAAAACTTCTATGCCTCTGATTTAATAAAATAGTATTTGATATTCAAAGCCCATGGACAAGAAACACAAAATAGTATTGAATTATAACAGGAACTACAACACTCCATTGTGTTATGTTTAATATTTTTATTCTCCCCTGTACTGTACCAACTCTTACCTAGAGCTTTGATGAACCTGACTTTCTGATTCCAAAAGTCTGGTTCAATCCTGATCCATTTCTTTTCTGTTATAAATTCAATGACTACTGAGTCTTCAGGGACATCATCTCTTAAAATAATGAACATTTCTCCAGGGCACTGTAAAGTAAGAGTTGTATCCAATTATTCTTTCAGGTCAATAAATTAAATCTATACAATGCGAATTACATATTTTCATGGGAGTTGTTTGAAACCTTAGCAGGAATATGTATGTTATCCAGCTACATATTTTTATAAAATAATTATTTGGCTTTTGTGGCATATTAAAGACTAGTAACTGTTGTAATAACAATATGAAATTTCAACATCCTTTTCTATGTACAGAAATAATGTAAACACTTATAAACTAATCCTTCTTGTACAAAGTACAACATCCCCTCTTGTACAAAATGTTTGAAGGAGTAGCTACTAATACAAAACTGAAAGGCCAGGCAGAACGTGGCAGTGTTGATTCCCATGAACCTCTCAGGGACTTCTGATGTCGTTGAACATGTCTTTCTTCTGGAAAGGGTGTCTAAGAAGGGTGTTGAAAGCGCTGTATGGCAAGAGTCCCACTTCTATTTGAGAACCAGTTCTGGAATATATTCTATATGCAACTACCTTTGATTATGGTCTGAAAATTTCAGTCTCTCCATTTTTTGTTTGTTTGTTTATGAGTCTTGCCCATATGATCACATTACATCAATATTTTGACATTTGTAGTGGTTCCCATTTTTAGCTCCAGTTTTAAGTGTGCATCCTATGTGTATGCCAGTACACTGCATTTATCTCCTAGGTTGGTGAAGTGCAGACCACAGTATGTTGGTTTTTATCATAGTTTCTTGATTAGAGATTCTAGTGTACATAGAACAGCTTAAAAATGCTTTGGGTAAAGCTAGCCAAAATGTAGCAGAACTGACTGGTATTTGTATTAAGATTTTATAGATGCATATGAAAGAAGGAATCCATAGGTTATTGGCCATTACATATTATGTATGATTATAATTGAAGAACCAAAACTTTTAAGGGAAAATTTCGGTGGAAAATAGAATTTTTAGGGGAAAATGCAATATTCAGAATGAATGTGATCTAGGACATGATAGGAAGGTGATGAGTGGAATGAAATGAGACAGTCAAAAAAAGCAATCGGGCCAGAATTCAAAAACTCAGGAATAAATGAAAATGGTGACTGCTTGCTGGGTACCTACTTTTAAAAAGTCAGCTTATTTCAAATATGTTTGCTTATTTGAAGCACAAGTGTATCCAGATATAAATATAGCAAAGGAATGAATAGAAATCTAACAGCATAACTGATTTGATGATGAAAGATTGAGGGAATTAGGGAACAATGCAAGAATAGTGATAGATTCTGAATCCGAATTCATTTGAGCATGTGATAGCTTGGAATGAGTGCTGGGAAGTCAGTGCTTAAATTTAGAGTGAGGATTAATATGCATTAATGCGAGGTTATATAATTTGTGGTAGGTGTAGGTTTATATTACTGCTAGGATTGAATGTTGACATAGACAATAAGGTAAAATTGGTATTGACATTATAGTTTCAATGAAGTCTAGAGTAATTTAGCATCAGGGTTAAGATTAGGATAAGATGGTAGGGCATTGTGATAGAGTACTGGGTTAGGGGTAGAAGTAATATTTGTACTGACATTTGGGTGAAGACAGAGTTAGAGGTAGGCTTCTTTGAGGTCTACAGTAATATTTAGTTTGAGAGTTAGGTTTACATGAGTTTTTACAGTCTGTAGCAATCCTACATTTACATTAGAGTCAGAAGTGAGTGCTGGGCTGAGGTTTAGTATAAACATTTGCAAGACATTAGGGTAAGTAAAGATTTATGTTTAAGCTTCATTGAGGTTTATTGGTAAATTTAGTGTGATGGTTAGGATGAGTCTTTATAGTTAGTGGTAGTCTTAGGTTTACGTTAAAAGTTGGAGTTAGGGTACTAGGTTGCGTTTAGATTTAAGGTAAATCTTTGTATTGGTATTAGGGTAAAATTAGGTTTAGTATTAGCCATTGTAGAATTCTGTGGAAAAAATACTTATAGTAAAATTTAGTGTGATGGTTAGGGTTAGAGTGAATTCTTATGGTTAGAAACTGGCTTTAGGTTTATATAGACCAGTGTTGTACAAACCTGGCCACTTTAAGATGAGTGGACTTCAACTCCCAGAATTCCCCAGCCAGCCATGC